TCAACTAACCAAAGATTTTTGTTAAAAAATTTACAACAGAATCCCACATATGTTGTCATTATAGCTGGGAGGTTATTGCTAATAATCTCTACTCTTTTTTATGAAACTGTAATGATCTATGTATAATTCTTAAACAAAAAAAATACCTCAAATCAATATGATTATTCCGAAGGTGGCATTGTAAGCGGCCTTTTCTTGTATATGTTTTGTCGCAATGCAGACAAGCAAACATCTGTCGTTCTTCAGGTACCAAGTGAGTTTTCTTGTGGCTGTTAAAATTGGACTTACTTGTTGTTTGATAGCTACATGTGGAACATTTCATTAGTCATTATAGCTGGGAGGTTATTGCTAATAATCTCTACTCTTTTTTATGAAACTGTAATGATCTATGTATAATTCTTAAACAAAAAAAAAATACCTCAAATCAATATGATTATTCCGAAGGTGGCATTGTAAGCGTCCTTTTCTTGTATATGTTTTGTCGCAATGCAGACAAGCAAACATCTGTCGTTCTTCAGGTGCCAAGTGAGTTTTCTTGTGGCTGTTAAAATTGGACTTATATGTTGTTTGATAGCTACATGTGGAACATCTATAGACCTCTTTCTGCAATTCCTCCAACTGTCGTTCTTCCCGTGCCAAGTGAATTTTCTTGTGCTTATAAAAACTGGGGTGATATGGCGTTTGGAAGCCACATTTGGAACATCTATAGATCTTTTTCTGCGATTCCTTAAATGTCTTCGCCCTAATAGTACAATTTTTAAATATTAGTCTTCTAACTCTATAAAACATACTTTTTCAAACATATATTCAATTCTATACCACAGATTATACAGATTACAATCTTTGTTTTTTCTTTATTGTTTTTCGTGGTTCCAATTTTCGGGATCGGGCACTAGTTAGGTGACTAGTTTGCGCACATAGCACGCCCACTTATGGCCTCTAAAATTGTGCACAGCGCCTGACCGGCACAGTTATTAGAGAGATATCGGAAAACCGAATAGCGTCATCCAGTATTTACGCGTACCTTATCATGGTTATGATATGCGCAAGTCAATTTTTAACGCAACACCCGCTAATAACGTTACCGCCTGACGTAATTTGCGGATCAATTACACCATAATTACACCAAGCGCTCTTTCTAAATAACCTCTGATAACGTTTAAAAATTGCTTACATTGGCATGTGCGGGTATTTGACAACCGGAGCCGGCCGGCGAGATCTTTTATTTTAGGTTATGTTTGAATTGTTTTGAATTATTGCTTTAGTTTTATTAGGTAATTTGATATTTAAGTAGTTGGGATTAGTTTTAATTAAATAAATATAGCCCAAAATATGGATTCCGCCTCTTCCAATACTAAAGAACCTATAAAGAGTCTTAGGTTTACAGCAGATGACGACATAGCCCTTCTAAGAGAATCTGTTGCTTGTTGCCCTAAACCCACTGGCAGACGTTGAACAATAAAGCACTGGAAATAAGCACTTTAGCCCTTTAGTTTTAAAATACCTAGTAAACAAAACAATGTCAAAGTTTGAAATTCAAAGTTAGGTTAAGTTTAAATAGCGGACGCGATGCGAACAGAATTCTTTCCGATCCGATAACTATAAATGAAGAGAGTTAATACCACCTCACGTAAAGAAAATAACACCTGGCCTTATTAACGTCCATGCACGCACAATTTTTGTTTTACTGAAAAGTTCCAAGCGAAAACAGTCAGAAAATCTTATCAACTAAAAATATTTAAGGAATATGCTTAGTTTCGGTATTTATTTTTTTTTCTTGGGATAATTAAAATTCACGTAAAATAAAAGCTCTTTCAGCATTTGGCAACAGTGTTACACTGAAAACTCTATGAAATAAAACACCATGTATCTGCCCGCGCAAGCGTGTTACTGTCCAACCCTGTTGTCACTTACCCTCTTTCTTCTTGAGGGACTTCTCGCTCTACTAGCCTTCTAGAAAAAAAAATTACACTAAATCACCACAATACACCAAAACACTTTTACTTTTACACTGTCACTTTAGTTAGTTCATAATCAACTGCTGATGATGCTAACATGGTTAGCGAAACGCGCGTCCAGTGTAAAAGTAAAAAGTGTTTTGGTGTATTGTGGTGATTTAGTGTAATTTTATTTTGCTGTGTAACACCAAAGGTTCCAACCCTCAACTGTAGCCTTCTAGAAGTATTAATTCTATTACATCCCACTAGTCAACTCGCATACCCAACGTTGCCGTTCGTTGTCCCTTAATTTCGCAGTTCTGCACGAGCATAAACGATAATCGGTCGGGTATTTCTCGTGTAATCTAAACAAAAAAAACTTACCCCAGAGACTAACCAAGGCAATTAAAATACGCCTAAGGCGTATATTGATTACTATTACCAACAACTATAAGTAAATAAAAAAATAAAAACAGCTGTAAAAAAATAAAAAAATTT